ATCAAAAATGTTGACCTGAGTGACAACTGCTAAACAAGACTTTGTCCTCATGGTTTGTAAGGGTCTTCAAACTTTGCAACTGAAAGATTTGCACTCTACCCTTCCCAAAGCAGTTAGCATCTAGCCCTGTGAACAACAAATGAGATCTAGCAAGGCCTTGCATAGCAAAGAATACTTTGTATTAAATACTGTGAAACATTCCTATTTATGAGCCTGGTACCCCCTGTATACAGTATTTTTGGCCACATATCATCGGTATTTTCAGGGAAAATGAGGGAAAGATGGTATTTAGCTAGGAATAATACGATATTCAGGGAAACACTGAACCATGGCAAAAAGAAAAGAGGGAAGCTAACATGAATATAAGATAAGAAGGTGCATATCCTATAGCAGGCTTTGAGTCCTAACCTGTGGTGCACCTCAGCCCCAATCCTTGGCAAGTTGTTGCATAGCTCCAGGCAAAGTCAAGTGGCCGATGTTTTATAATATCTGGGTAAGGTACTGGATTAAGAGTGATGAAACACAGGATCAAACCCCACCTCAGCCATGGATAACAACTTTTAAGTCATTCACTCTTTCTCTGCCCAACTTGACTCATAGGGCTGTTTTTCTGGTGGTGGTGGTGGGAAATGCAAGAAAGGAGTGCTCAATGGCCACCATGAGCTCTTGGAAAGAGTCTCTCTCTCTTTCTCTCTCTCTCTCTCTTTCTCTCTGTTCTTTTTTTTTCTCTCTCTCTCTCTCTCTATCTTTCTCGTATGTGCCATCAGGTCAGTGTTGAACCCTGGCAAATCCTTGCAGTTTTCTTAGCAAGATTTTTCAGAAGTTTGCCACTGCCTCCTTCATAGGGCTGAGAGAGAATAACTGGCCCAAGGTCAGGCAGCAGGCTTTGTGCCTCAGGCAGGGCTAAAACTCCTGTTTCAGCCCCATGCCTGAACCACTGCACCAAACTGGAACCTCCCAGAGGGAAAGCAGGATATAAAACTTTTTTGAAAGCCAACAATGTTATAGGGATAAGGGTGTGGGGGAACAGCCTTCCATCCTTTCTAAGGTAGGTTAAATGAGGACCCAGTTTGTGGGGGCAATAAGCTGACTTTGTATAAATATACAAAAGTATGAAGGCTATTGCTTAATGCATTGTAAGCCGCCCTGAGTCTCCGGAGAAGGGCGGCATATAAATCAAATTAAAAAAAAAACAAACTTCTAGTCTCTTCTCAATCCTATAAGATTCTTGGGTGACTTTCGGAAAATTACTTTCTCTAAGTCAACCTACTTCACAGGTTTGTTGCAGAAGGCTTTTGTATGTTTCCTTGTTTTCTGAACAAAAGACAGGTTATGTCTCATAAATCAACAAAAGCTATGAGATCTCAAAAAACGTCTGGAAAGATTTTTAAAAGAAGGCAGAAGGAATACTTTTGAGGTCTTAAAGAAAAACCCTTTGAAGAATCTAGCCTACAATGGGAATATTAACTTGTTAGTCTTATAGACATCTTTTATTATTATTTTCATGTGGCTTGCAGCAGTAATACAATTACCTGCAGCCTCACTGTTTGCAGTGAATAGTAACTGCCTTGAAGCTATCAGATGCATGTGATCCTACCAGGAGTAATATCAGCAGCATCCCTTTGCACAGCAACCCCCTCCCCCCAATTTCTTGTCCCTAGCAGTCCTTGGATTATGAAGTATTGTATTTTTCAGAGTATAAGACGTACCTTTTTCCCCCTTAAAAGAGGCTGAAAATTAGGGTGCGTCTTACACTCCGAATATAGCTTTTTCAAAGCTTTTTTTCAGCCCTAACGAGGCGCTAGCGAGTGAAGCGATCTTCCCAGCTTTGCCTGCTCCTTCGACCCTCCGCTGTGCTTTAATGAGGCGCTGGTGAGTGAAGTGATCTCCATGCTTTGCTCTGACTCTCAGCTGTTCTTTAGAAGCTTTTTTTTCAGCCCTAATTGGCGCTAGCCAAGTAAAGCTATCTCCCCATGCTTTCCCTGGTTTTCTCATTGCTGCTTCCTCCCAGCTGTGCCTTAGAAACTGTTTTTTATCCCCAAGAGGGGATAAAAAACCAGCAAACTAATGTACTGAAGCTGACCAGACTAAGGACGCTACCCAGACGAATGCGGTGCATCTTATACTCCAAAAAATACGGTATACCCCAGCAGGATGCAGTGCCTGGAAATGATGGGAGCTGAAGTTCAACTCACCTCAAAGACAGCAGATGTCAATTTCCCTGTTATTCTGCATTTTAAACACTTACAAATGCTTTGTGCACATTCCCCACCCCTGCCCTTACCCCTCTGCCAAGTAAATGGCAGGGTGTACTAAGAGATTCTAGCAGAGGAGAAATCTGAACTAGGGAATCAGGTACCTCATTTTCCCAGCTGCCCCATATATAAACATGCAGAATTGTAGTGTGGCTACTATAGCAGGTAACTCTGAGCCTCAAAGGACACATTGGAACAGCTTCTGATTGATTTCGGCCTGATTTCTCAATATCTGAATCCTGGTATGGTTCAATTTATCTAATCTGTGTTGATGAGATGCCAGTTTGGTCTGATGGTTAAGGCACCAGGCTAGAAACCAAAAGACCATGAGCCTTAGGTATAAAATCACCTGGGTATCTTTGGGCCAATCACACTTTGTCACTTTACAAGGTTGTTGTGGGGAAAATAGGAGGAGGAAGGAGTATTAGATATATTCACTGCCTTGAGCTATTTATAAAAATAATAAAGGCAGGATATAAATAAGTAAAAGTCAAGAGCCTTGGTACTACAGGGGTTTAAGGCACCCTGTTATTAAGCTTATTAAGACCAGCTGCCTGCAATTACTGCAGGGTTCGAATCTCGCCAAGGCTCAAGGTTGACTCAGCCTTCCATCCTTTCTAAGGTAGGTGAAATGAGGACCCAGTTTGTGGGGGCAATAAGCTGACTTTGTATAAATATACAAAAGGATGAAGGCTATTGCTGAGCACATTGTAAGCCGCCCTGAGTCTTCGGAGAAGGGCGGCATATAAATCAAATAAAAAAAAAAAAAGTAAAGTAAAATTAGGCTGGGGCCAAACAGCTCCCCTAAGTTATGGATTAAACTGTACAGTTTCCACCAAACACTGAAGAATATGTGCATAGCATAACTGTAGTGCAGAAACCACACCCTGGCTCTTATCCCCTAATGTATCTTAGAATGCACCAACAGCTGCATTCACATGTGGTTAACCTGGTTACTAAAGTAAACCCGTTATCTGAGTTTGCCTACACCTTCAAAACAAACTAAGCAAATGGCTGAATTTGCAGAACACCCTAAGCTATTTTTTTTTTTTACAAAAAAACCCACACCTAATAAGAATTAAAACTAATGAATTTAGCACTTCAGGCAAATATTACTGCTATTTGGCTAACTGATTTCATTAACCATGTTGTATATTTCTAACCAATGAGTAAAGAATGTATTGCCATTGGGAATTCAGTACCACATGTTATGCAAGGTAGCCATGGATGATGCTGCAGCCAGTCCTGGCTTACACAAGACTTACACAAGACTCATATTTGCAAATTGCTGGCATTGTTACATTTTTAAAAGTAGATGCTAAAATGCAGTTAGTGAAAAGGTCTTACAAACAAGACTAGTCATTTAAAGAGAAAAGCAGGCTGTATTAATGTATTTTATTAATTTATTTATTACTTATAATATATTTTATTTATTACTTACTTTTAAGTAAGTATTAATTTAATTTAAAGTATTAAATTTATTGGCTGCCCAATTCCAGTGGAATCTGGGCACAGAGGACTGGAAAGAACATAAAAGAGCTAAAAACATTAAATAAAGTACACAGACCATCCTAAATAATCTAGCAAACAGTACAGCAGACCTTCCTCCGTACTTTATTTATCCTCTCATAGTTGAGGTGAGAGCCCAGGACAAGTCCAGCAACAACAGAGCATCTGGTGCCACCATTCCCCTAGGATGATGAGGGGAAAGAAGTACAAGGAAGACCTATTAAGGTCAGAGGCCTCTTCACCACCACCTTCTGTGCAGGATGGCCAAAAGGGCAGAGATGGGAGAGAGATATCATTAAGATACTTTGTCATAAATGTCCACTGATTGCTAAGCGCCCAAATTTTGATCATGTGAGATAATGCAATGGTGGTAAGTGAGAGGACCGGTCATATGTCCATTTTTTCAGCACTATCCTAACTTTGGACAGTCGTTGAACAAATGATTATTTTCTGCTGCCTGGAATGAGAGTCCAATGATGGCCTCTGTGGGACGCTCTCTGGGTCTGGATCCCAGGGAGCCCCTTTGGTTCTCTGAGGAACTCAGAAATGAAACATCAGAAATGCTGCTGGACAACAAAGACCACTGAACATGGGTCAAATTTTTTATTGCTATTTTCCACATGGGGATAAAGGCAGCAAAATATATTTTACTATTCTATCACCTCCTCAGATAGCCAGCCAGTAGCCCTAAATAGAGCAGGAGAGGTCTGTAGGGGTATTGTGAAGAATATTCTAGGCATCTATCAAATAGGGTTGTTTCTCTTTTATTTGGGGAGGGATGGGGGTGCCATCAGGTCAGCAAAGCCAAGTTAGACACACCAAGCCTCAAAGATTCACCCTCACTAGACTAGGATCACTGGACTCATTTGATTACCAAATTTCATCAATATATTTGGGATGCCTCCTTGAGCCTCTATAGAAAAGGTGGAGCATAAACCCAATAAATAGCAATAAGCTTCTATTAAGCCCAATCCTTTTCATACAATATTAACCAATTCCACTTCTCCAGAAAGTATTTCTCTTCCAGCATCTGGAATTTAGGAATATACTTCCCTTGAAAACAGAAACTTACATAAGTGGTTTTATCCTCTTAGACACAACACTTCACATGCTGAAATGAGGCAGAATTAATTTCTATCTGAGGAAAAGAAAGCACCCCAGATCCTTTTCCCACTTGAAATGCCAACCTATCCCTTTACCCCAGCTCCCTATAGAGGCACTATGCCCCCCACTCACTCTGGGGTGTTGATCCAGATGATATCCAGGTGGCAGTAGTAAACACACTCTTTATCTTTGTAGGTGTAGCAAGTACAGCGTTTGGCTCTGTGGTGGACCTCCCCCAGGTCAGTCACGTTGTCCAGTTTGGAGCTGGTAGCTGAATTCAGCCTTCCGGGTTCTGTGCTGGTTTCTTTTCTGACTCTCTCTGAGAGCCCCAGAAATCTCAACCCTGTGCTATTACTCCTGCTCACACTGGGAAGCAACAGGGGATGAGAGGTGGGTAGCGAGAAACCTGCAAATTGTGGAGGGGGGAAGTGGGGGTGGGGAAAAAGAGGCCAAATTAGATAGAAACTGTTCCTAGCAAAGCAGTCGAGTCCTGCAACAAAACTCCCAGTGCCACATCTTGAAAGTAAGTGGTGTCAGGTTTGGATTTCTTTTTCTCAACTTCTAGAATTACAACTGTGACAAATCACCAGGCAACATTTAAACAGAAACTACTCAGATGCCCCCCACCTCAAGTTCACGGTAATGAATGAAAGCTGGGGAAGAAATCAAGAAAGATAAATGCAAAACAGAAAGTTAATCATAATGCAGCACTAAAAAAATATCAGCATGGCTAATAAAACAGTACTATTGGGATAAACGTAACAAAACTGGTTTTTCCAAAACTTTTAGCATATATAACAAAATGTAGATTAGTAAGGGGAGAGAAACCCTACTTTGTAACAATTTACACACTAGAAAGAGAACGGCATCAAATGTGTTTGTTACTGTCAGGCAGGTGGTCTGTAATTTGAAGAGCCATTTGCAATTTGCAAAGATTTATGTAAAGGCTGCTTCAACTATAGTAATGGAGCTCAAAGAGGTAGCTGAAGAGAAAACATCTTGAAACCCCAGCATTTTAAGCATTCTCTAAAAGGGTGGATTTCAAATGAGATCAAAGCCAGCCTGGTTCCACAAAAGCATAATCCTAAATTTCAAAAAGCAGCTAAGAGGCTTCTGAACACAATTCAACAGGCTCTTGAGAACTCCAACCCAGAATCCTGGAAGCAATTTTTTCATTCAAACAAACTCAGCTAGAAATGTTAGTATTTTGTTTTTCCATCTTGAAAGCACTCTAGATAGATACTGTCACAACAAGCCTGCAAGGCCTGCCAGGGCTCTCACCTCCAAATTCCACCCAAGACTGTTTTTATCATCTCTGGGCTACTGGCTAGTTCTTATTTTAGGATTTTCAGGTGCCAGTTTCAGAGTCTGCCTCTCCACCATCACAACTCCTAACAAAAGAAATTGTATTCTCTTTTCTTCAGAACCAAATGCACACGATTTGGCCACTACATATAATATCAGCAACATAACACCTTATAAAGAAGGGATCTCTTTTGATAGAAAGAGGTATTATAGAATCATAGGGCTGGAAGGGACCTCATAGGTCTTCTAGTCCAACTCCCTTGCTCAAGGCAGAACACCTTTTGTTTCGTTCCATAGGTCAAGAGAAAAATATATTTTCTCTTGATGTGCAGAACAAAAAAAAATATTTCTGGATATTTTCTTTGGACTAGCATTAGTGGTTGGGGATAAAAGATAATCTTAACAAAATTGGCTAACTAAAAAGCTTTCAAAAATTTAACGGATAGCTTTAGAAGTGTGATTTCGGAAGTTAAAAACTCTCTGTCCGATGTAGCATCTTGCCTTTTTATATGCTTCAAAAACATTAAAATTGTTATAATTATGTAATTGTTTTTTAAAGAAGTGTATTGCTTTCCTGATTTATTCGAGATGCCTCGATTTCCCCGAGGCTCGAACCAACTTTATTTACGAAGCAATTCACGTCTGAATTGTCCTACGATTGCATTCTGATGCCCATTTTCCAGGCAGTAACAGCAAGCCCGTATTCGGGACAACCAAATTCCAAGCCAACTTGCCTAGGCCCGCGGTGAAAAAGCACCCTTTCTTTCGCGCGGCTAACGGAAAGCCGCTGTCAAGAAACGGATCAGAAATCATCAGTCGAAATAGGCATCTCTTCTTTCTCACACGCAATTTTTTATTTATTAGGTTAGTTATTTTTTCCTTGCATTTTACCTGCGCTCGAGAGAAATGTAAGTCCAACCAGTATCAAGAATCCCCGCTCCATGAAATCCAGATTGCAAGCTTCTCAACTTGCCGCAAATTCCGAGAGCAAGAGAAACGCGGTCAAAAATAAATAAATCACAAATCGAAATCCGGTTAATATTTGCAGCGCGTCAAATTTCTCCTGGCTGACTTGCCGTTGCCACGCGCGCCCAGGTTTTCTCAGCACCTGGAGTCTCGAAACGCCCGGGGAGCCTTCCTTCCACCTTCCTCTTTTTTGTAAGCTAGTCCCAAAGAGGCAAACGGGACAAAGCCACCTCTCGCTCCATAGCTCGCCTGCTCTTTTCTCGCTCCTTTCCCTCTTCCTCGGCAGCCTTCAATCCGATCCTAAACTGGACTCTTGTTTTTCCAGGCAAATAAAATAAAAAGAGCGCATTAGACGCCGTCGAGCAAAGAGCCGTTTCCAAGCGAGATCGCCTGGCTGCTATCGCTTCGTCTGTCCAGGCTGTCGCATTGTGCTTCTCCGGCACTTCACCCACACGAGACGCCGAGGCAAGACAAGCCGGCACGCGCTGCTCCCACGCCGAGACCGCCAGACCAGCCAACTGCAGCCGAAAGCGAGTCTGCGCGGCGAGTGCAACGCCGCACTTCAAGGGAGCGCTTCGCTCTGCTGTGGGCGGGGCGGGGAACCCCGGGAGAGGATGGGGCGCGGCTCCCCCAGAGGTCCTGGTGCTGGTTGCTTATGCCTTAGGCCGGTTTTACGTGCTGAGGTCCGTCAAGGTTGAGAGAGTCCCTTGGCGAGGACTCAAGGGCTACCCACCCATGAGAAAGACTAGAATGAGTTTCTGTAAAAGGATTTGTCGAAAGACTTCAGTGGAAAACATCGGAGCTGCCCGGCTCAGCTATAGGCAAATATAGGTTGCGTTTACGACATCGAACAGGGCCATCGTTTGATTTGACTAAGCTAAGCCAAGCCATGGTTTTGTGAACTTAACAGTGATTGGCTGAGTTCACAAAACTAGCAAAATTGTAAACTACATAGAAATATGTAGCGCCCCCACCACCACCCAACCCATGCAAAGGATTGCCCACCCCTTCCTTAAATGATAGCTCACAAACCACAACTAGATTCATACAGGGTGCTAAATCAAAATTACACCAGATGTGCATTGCATGCATTTAGTTATTATGGCTCAGTCAAGCTATAGTTAAAACAAGCCAGATAAAGCTTCGTTTCAATGAAGCATCTCTGATATAGGTAGGCTTAATTAAGGATATGCATCCAGGATATCTCAGTGTTTCACCATCCCCACCCTGTTGAAAAAACTCACTAAGTACGCTTTCTCCATGGTTGGGGTCACACACATGCTAAACAAGGATTTGTATAAAGTTAGTCTGCTAAATCAACACAATTCACACAAAATGCTAAGCCAAAGCAACCAACCATATGTTGGTACACTTGTGTGAATTTAGCCATCATCTTCCTTATCAGTAAGGCTGAAAAAGGGGTACCCAGTGACATTTATTGAACTTCCAATAGGATTTGCTTACAAAACTGGCTAGCCAGGTGCTCACAAGGAAGAGTCAGTTAATTTATTTCTGTCATGGCCTTTTTTTTAATATATAAAAAATGTACACAACATTAAGTACAGAGGAAATAAATCTAAGCTAATGCCAGATGACATTAGCAGGAATAATGCAATACATTCACAAAGCTCTTGAAAAGTTCCTTCTAAAAATCTGCAGTTCCTAAGTGTGGCTAAATGCCCCTGCCACAAGCAACTATGCCTCATTTACAGAAGAGCCACTGCCACAATACACCACACAACTCTCTGTCACTGATAAATAATTTACACTGCCTAGAATTTGTGCTGAAGGACAAGAGCCCAACTTGTCAATCTTTATTAAGGAACCATTTGGTTCAAAAGTACAATAAAACTGAAGATCAGGAACATGTAAGCGCAGCACATACAAAAAGCACGGTTTGAGAAATATAGTTAATAGTTGGTTGCTAGTTAATAGTCAGATGTTTAGACTGGATTTGGTGTTTTTATCCATCTATCAAATCCTTCCCAAGGACCTGGCAAATATTGTTTGGTGGTGTTAAAAGTATCATTGTAGGATATAAGCTGTTCCAAGTAAAGGTGCCTTTTGCAATTAACTGATGGTGAGTTTGTCAATGCAGATAGTATTCAAGTGGTGCTCCAAATTTACTGAAAGTGCTCAATAGTAATATGAAGTTTTTTTCTGACAGCTTTAAAAACAGCACTTCTTGAAATGATCAATTATGAAATGCTGGGTAGGGGCAGAACTTTGGAACTGAAATTATTGCTAACATGAAATACTAGCATATCAAGTATTGAATTTTCTACTTTCCTATTCTGTATATATCCAAAATGATTGTCTGTTTATCATTGTTTTAATCATGGTGTGAACATTTACAGAATTTTCTATCTAATTGTTATTTATTAAAGAAATGTTACAAGAGCAATTTTGTACAATAGTCTGGATTCTATACAGGCAAGGAAGGATTTTCTTAAAGAAGAAAACAAAAATATGGTACAGTATGTTCCCTTTGCATTTCATCAGACCCTTAGAAAAGAAGGAGTGCTTTGGTCTTTGCCCCAAGAGCAAAGTCAGCTTTAGAAGTAACTAAACACTTTCTTTAAGTGCAATCAAAGTTCAGAAATAAAACACCCCAATTCTGGGCTTGGATCCAATTACGTTCTTTGGAATATAATGCAAAGAATTTGACTGAACCTTCATTGCAGAAAAATAACTGTCAAAATAAGTAAATAAAATATTTTTGAATTCTCAAAGTCTAAAATGTTTCCGATCAAATGTTCCTTTCAGTGTGATTATTTTGATGGGAGGGAAAGATATCACCTGCAATCTGAGAAGAACAAAACGCCTGTATTTACATTTGCTTCCTAAAGCAAGAATGGCTTTAATCTTATGTATGACCAGGGCCTGAAAATCAGCAAATTGGGTGGAATTATATAAGTGATTCCCAAACATGGGCCACAAGCTCCCCCCCAGGGAACATGTCATATTTGTGGGGGTCATAATAAGTTCCTGAGGGCCCACCCAAGCATATAATCATTTTGTCATTATCCTCACATTCTCTGTGCTAATTTCAGCAGCATAAATATTGAAAACTGCTACAGTTTATGATGTATATCTTAAGAGTGGCTATGGAAGTGAGTCACAGAGACAAATGAG